CCCCTGAACAGCATATTGACTCCGGCGACCTCCCTCTTGGTAAAAATAGGCCCCTGGAATCGTCCTAACCTTCCCCCCTGTTACGGCGTCCCTGAGCGGGGGTCCCAGAGGTTGAAACTCGGGTTGAGTGCAGGTCTCTTTGGCCCCGTCCCAACGCAACAAGCCCCATGGTTTGATTTGTTAGTTATACCCGGTCAAATTTTCAACTTTTGAGAGCGCTATCTCCGTGAGTTGGGGACCGGTGTTCTGACGGGAGTGTACTGAAATGTACTGATTGTACTGAAATTCACCTGCTTTGGCAGTCAGGGGAGAAACGAAGCTTATCAAAACTTTGAATCATTTGAACAAATTGCTTCACAAAATGAATCACTGTTCAAGCGCTCGAAACGCCACACGCTGGTGACGCCTGCTGGTCAGAACGATGTAAATGCAACGAAAACTAGAAACATGCATTAAATTACCTTTAGCAAACCGATTTTATTGAAAGTGTTGTAAGGACCACCCACTGACTCAATGACGGAATCCAACGGCGTGGGTGAAGGTATAATGTGTTTAAGTCTTTTACTTGCGCTTCTGTAAGGTTCACTTAATTTGTTTTGAATTTGACTGAATTTAAATTTTATTGTAGCTCTGTGCTTAGTCTGACTGCAATTTCAAGAGATCATTAAATGTAGACCCAGTATCGCGAGGCCATCGTAGATCTCACGATCACAAACTCACCAGTTCTGAGTTTAGTCAGAGGATGCAGAGAGTGAACTAATACCTTTAAGTCAGCTGTCACATGCTCGCTCATTCAAAAAGTGTAGTTTCCGCAGTCATGCAGCTGCAACTTGCTACGTCAGTGATAGACAGAAATCAAAAGGTCCCACATGATGTGCCTCATACTCCATTCACTGGGCCTTCAGTTTGACCTGTCCAGAAATACCAGAATCCACTTAATCTACTAGTCACAATGATTTCAGAAGAGTTCAGAATAAATCAAATGTAACCTTTTATTTGTCAGGTAAAAATCTATCATGCCAATTACATTATTAAACAATGGAAATCCAATTCAGAATTAAATTCAGTTCCAATTCAGACAAATACATTACATTAACTGCTCACAGATTAATCTAAGAGTAAGAGATTTCCTCTCCCTCCTCCTTCACCACGTCCTCCTCCTCCCCCTCCCTCCAACTTTCGTTGACTCTACAATAAGTAAATCCACTTCAAGAGCTCATTACTCTTCAACAGTGATGCAATAGAGCTACTGCAATAATGGAAGTTCAAAGACAGAATTTTAAAGATGGCCGCATGCTTGTTTTTCTGACGCATAAGACGTATAATAACAAAGAAAAAAATCTTGTTCTTCCACACGACTCATACTATTACTGGAGTCTGTAGTGTGTTTACTGTGTGCTACAGGAATAAAAACCTTCCCAGAGATTCAACTGATTCATCTGCATGAGAGTGAGATCTTTGGAGAACATGAGACTGGAATGAGTCTGATGAGAGAGTTTCTGTACCTTCAACAATCACTTGAAGATCTCCGCCAATGACCATATCTATCTCAATGACATGTAATGTGTTATTCCCTGAATCTGTTCTGATCACATTGTTTATGATCAGTGTCATATAATCAAAGAAGAACTCAGATCTGCTTCTGATGGATTCATGCTTGTGCTCTGTATTGTTCTTTATTCTAAAAACTTGCAGTCCAGTGCCATCATTTAACCTTTTATACAAATAAAGGTCTTGATATCGAGGGTCCAGCACCATCAGCAGATTGAGTTTGTGTCCCAGAGCTGCGTAACAGGGATCGATTGAATGAAATTGATCAAACCTGCAGAACCGATCCAGACCTGAAGAACAAAACACAAACAATGAAATGTACCAACATCGCCCGACAGAGAGAGTGTTACTGCTGGTATAAATATTATCTCTCTCATCATGAATTTCAATCAGACTTGTATAACACAAGCATTCATAATAAGTTCTACAGAAGACATGTATCAGACTCATGATCTGATATCAGCTCTCAAATGATGTTCTTAATGTTCTCATCTAAAAGTCTCATAAAACGTTTTAACAGTGCAGTTTTTCTACATGTCCTGAACACTTTTTGAAAACAATAAAAAAAATTAAATAAAAAAAAAACAGCTGGCAGAAGGCATGTATAATACAGAAAAAGCATCTCCAATCCATCATTGCTCATAATTTAATTCATATAACATTAAATACTTGTGCGCAGCCAGAACATCACAGGCCTGGTGTGCAAACCT